CAAGCTGTTTGTCTTGACCGCGGAGGCTACATTACCAGTCGGATCAGAATTGCACATCCTACCCATCAGAATGTCGCATAACCAGCCGAGCCCCATGCGCTTGATCTCCTTCACCCAGTTTATCACATTGCACTTGGTAACTATTTTCTGACTGTATTCAGCTCTATTTTATACGGTAATGTCGCGTTTTCATAACCTCTTAGTTACCAGGACTGATTTGCCGAACGTTTGTCAGTTTGGTGGCAAATGGTCATCACTGCATCCGGAAGGTTATTCTGTCAGTATTGCTTTCCGCTTACTTCTGCTCGAGACCTATCCCTGAGGAGTCAGTCTAACTGGTCTAACTGAGCAGCAAACATTCAACTATGGCTTCAGTTGTCGTTAGAAATCTTTTGAGTATTTTCGTATTATTATCTAAAGTTCGCGATCTGTCACTTAACCCATTAACGCGCTAGAGCATTCCCATTGCACTACACCATGGAGTTCGTTATCATCAGTCCTCACAAAGTACCCTGAACTTTACGTCGATGGTGAGGGGTTGCTCTTCTGTGTTTCATCGAGAAATCTGTCCCACTGAGACACGTCTATCTTAGGCACTTCACATCGATTGGGTATTTACATAATTCGGGAAGCTTCCCACCTTTTCCTTCTACAAACTGCTTCTGTCCGTCGCTACCTACTGTTGCGATTTATCACAGCCTGCGTGTGTCACTCCACTGTAAGTATTGCTCCTCTGTGCTGGTCCACTGAATAATCCTTCCAGAGTACTAGATATGTTATTAGATACTTGTTCCAATGTAGTGACATTCGAAGCCGATCTTTGTTGACGCTGTTTGTGTACAAGCCTTGCTTCGAAAACACTTATTAGGCGTCAACTTCATTGAGTTGCTGAAGATGCAAATCCATTTGTGGTCCCATAGGTACCCAATACTCGTCAGTCGTCCCACATCTAGTGACTTTGCGAGTCCTGAACTCAATCGTTCGAGTGAATTGCCTTCGATTTTGCATTGCGTTTATTTTACTGTCTATACTGCTTATCAATCGCTTCCTTATCCGGATGTATCAAGCCGTATATGCTACCGAGAGGAAGACGTGTGTTATGACTCAATCTTCATTCATTTTAGGTGCCTGAAGCTCTGTCTTGACTTGTTCTGGCGACCGGATGACCCAAGTCGCTTCTGTGCTTTACTCATAGTTGAGCAACATACTGGACTATTTTAATATGAGCATTCGACAGATTACCGGATGTCAAAACAGTAGAACAATAACTTGAAAAGCCTCCTAACCATCTATCTAGCTGACAAAAGAAAACGATATTTAACTATGTTCACGGAAAAGTTATTTGCCTTACTTTGACGGCGTCCAATCTCTTTTCACTTGTTCAGATGAACACACTCTGAGGCATGGTGTTTAGAATGCTTGTTTCATTTCCGAGGCTAGAAATGAAGGATTTCTCTTGTTCTCCAGTTGTGAGTTAATAATCATTGTATGACTTCATTCGACTTACTTTGAACAGTAGCGCCCGATGCAATTGCCCACCCAGCTTTATTTTTCCAATTGGGATCACGTTCGAATTGATCTCATGGCGTACTTCTGCAATTCCCAGCTCCCACCGATATGAGGTGAACTCATCTCTGTTGACTTCGCCACCGAGGCAGTTCGCGACAAACCTGGTGTAATGTAGGGAGAACGATACTTCAGCGATACTTGGGAACACTGCTTGGTTCATCGGTTGCCAAGTTCAAACATGTCGTTTCAGACGTTCTAACTCCAGTCGTGGTGACAACCTGTGTCATGTTGGCCGCGACAATACCACGCCGGTTGTCCGAGCGCCGAAACTAAAACAATGCTGGGCCCGGTTAATAATTGCATGGGGGATCCGATGGGAATACCGAGTGTTGCTCAAGTGCGGCTCACTCGCCTAGTGTCCGATCATCCAGGGCGAGGTACAGTGTGACTAGGAAGGGTTCAGCATGTGGCTGCCCGACTCATTCCCAATTTACGGGATATGTCGTACAAGGACCAGTGCACGATACTGGGGCTTGTTGCATCGTCGATTTCAAATGGACCTCCTAATGCTGCACCGGATATTACATCTGGGTGACTTAACAATACTGAGCTCGCTACTACACGTGCGCGCACCAAGTAATACTCGCGGGCACCGGTACAACTTTGTAGTACTGGATCTGAAGCAGCTAGCTCACCTTTTATGCTTTGAGTGTCGAGTGTTGAAATACTGGAAGTTTTGCCTAGACGACAGTCAAGACGAAATCGGTGTCTGCCAATTTTGCGAATTACAGATATCGAGAGCGCATTGCACCTGGATACCCGCCACACAGCCGAACTGCGTTGACGGTGCACGGTAATAACTATCATTATTCCGCATACATGCCCGGTATTATATCGACGGAGTAATAGGTGTATATCTACTTTCTGTAAAAGTGGCCCTCCGTGCATCAAAAAGTCAAGATATGGGCCTCGATCAGAAATTCATTATTCATAGGATGAAACTCATTTTATATATCGAGTCAATTAGAATCACTCACAGATGTAGAACAAATCTCCTTCCTATTACATTCTTGACCAGCGTTCGAGCTTCGTTCAATGTCGATCCAAATCAATTGCATGCTATCCTTCAGTTCGCTTCTGCAGCAATCGACCAGCTTTCAGATTGTTGGCCCAAAATCATTAAGATCGACCGATCGCTAAGTGACCGGCATCTCAGTGTAGTATCTTACCATCACATCCTTCCTTTTTTCGTTTTTTTGTAGTCCGATTGCGTAAGCGCTGTATCGCCTTCCACTGCGTGTAGTCTTGTGGTCGTGTGCTGCCGTATCCACCGAAATGTCCGGCTGCGTTGGCTGCTTCGCACGATGCCGTGCTTGTTCACCACGTTGTCTCCTTAACTGCACCCGGTTGCGTCGAAATAGACTATCCCCAACGCTTACGTCGTAGCTTCGTTCGCCTTTGAGACCTTCTACTCGCCCTCTCCTCCAAGACCCGTTAGCTCCCGGTGTCGGCGCGACCCAGACCTCGTCTCCGGGCAACAGGCGTGGAAGCTGCTTCGTTCCGCGATCGTAATATTTCTTTTGTCGAAGCATGCGCTCACGCAAGCGCTCATACATCAAGCTCTGCGATGGTATTTCAGGCTGCAGCAGAGTATTGGCGATCGGCAACAGGGTTCTTGTCCTACGGCCAAACAGACGTTGCGCTGGACTGCATCCAATTTCGGCAGATGGCATGTTCCTTCGTTCTAACAACATGATGTAAGGATCTTCTTTGGTCTCCTTGGCTTTGGTGAGTAACTTCTTTGCTTCCTTCACGGCTGACTCAGCTTTTCCATTTGACTGACTGTGGTAAGGGCTGGTTAAACGATGAAGGAAATCCCACTTTTCGCTGAAGCTCCGAAATTCGGCGCTGTTGAATTGGGGGCCATTGTCGGACACTACCTCTTCCGGTATCCCATGTCGCGCAAACTGCGATCGTAGCTTGTTTATCACGGCCTGTGTGCTAGTAGACGTGAGAGCATCAATCTCGAAATAGTCGCTAAAGTAATCGACAGCGATCAGGTAATTCTTTCCGTCATGTGCAAAGATGTCTAGGGCGACTTTCTGCCACGGCCTTTCCGGGACCTCACGAAGCATCATAGGCTCCTTCGGCTGGCGGACATCATGTGCTCGACAGGCTAAGCAGTTTGAAACATGATCCCGTATCTGACTAGTCATTCCAGGCCAAAACATTAGCTCTCGAGCTCTCGCCACGCAAGCATTGACTCCTGAATGACTTCCGTGTATCAGCTCCAGCATGGGTCGTTGCATTGCTTTTGGAACGAGTATACGCTTGCCTTTGAAGATTAGCCCATCCTGTGTGACAAGTTCATCCCGAAAGTTAAAGAAGGGAGTCAACTCCTTTGGCAGCTTGTTTTTACTATCGGGCCACCCTTTCAGTATCGTTTCCTTGAGCCGATTACACAGCTCGTCTGCTTCCGTGTGGCGTAGTAGTTGCTGGAAACGCTCCTCTGTGACGGCCAATAGCTGAGTGACATGGACAATGTCTTGGTCTTCTTGCGTTGCGGTCACATCGGAAAGATATGCCCTAGACAGTGTGTCTGCAATGTACATCCTCGACCCCGGTTGGTAGACGATGTCTAGGTCGTACTTCTGGAGCCGAATGAGCATTCGTTGTAAGCGGCGTGGGACGACGTGCAGTGGTTTATTGGCTATTGATACCAGAGGCTTGTGATCGGTAAATACAGTGGTCCGGCGACCAAAAGTGTAATCGTTGAAACGCTCTACGGCATAAACCAATGCTAGCATCTCCTTTTCAATCTGTGCATAACGGCGCTCGGATTCCGTTAGTGTCCGACTGCGAAAATCGATGGGCTTCCCGTTCTGCATTAGCACGGCACCGATACCGAATTGGCTGCTGTCACACTGGATCTCAAGGGGAAGTGACGGATCGTAATACGCTAGGACAGGGGCGCACGCGATCAGTTGTTTGATGTTCTGGAAAGCCTCCTCCTGTTCTGTGTTCCACTGCCAGCTCTCGCCCTTATGTGTAAGTTTTCGGATAGGAACCATTACTTCGGCTAGTCGTGGAAGGAAGCGGCTGAGGTAATTCACCATCCCGTTTAGTCTGCTCACGGCTTTAACATCTGTCGGAGGTGGCATCTCTTTTATGGCTCTAACTTTCTCCGGATCTGGCTTTAGACCTTCTGCGCTCAAAACATGTCCGTGGAACACCAGCTCTGTTTTTCGTAACTCAATTTTCTCACGTTTCAATCTGATATTCTTGTCTTTACAGCGTTCTAGAAATCTGCTCAGGTTACGGTCGTGCTCTTCCAGAGTCGCCCCAAAAACCACTACATCGTCTGCTACACAAATAGCTCCGGGTAGATCGTCTAGGGCCTGCATTAATCGTTTCTGAAAAATTTCACTGGACACTTTCAAACCGAATGGTAAGCGCAACCACCGAAACCGTCCAAATGGCGTTCCGAACGTGGTTAAATAACTGGACTCTTCGTCAAGCTGGACGTGCCAGAAAGCGGAAGCGAGGTCGACCTTCGTGAACAATCTGGCCTTGGACAACTCGGGTAAGACGTCATCTAGCGTTGGTAGTGTAAAATACTCTCTCCTGAGTGCGGCGTTGAGCGGCTTAGGGTCGATGCACACACGCAAATCGCCTGACTTCTTGGTGATTATCGCGACTTGACTGACCCAATCGGTTGGCTCATCGACCTTGGCAATCACACCTAAACTGATCAAACGCTGCAACTCGTCTAAGAACTTCTCACGCAAAGCGATAGGTACTTTTCTCGCTGGTAGTGCTACTGGTCTAGCGGACTCGTTTAACGACAGGTGAGCTACGCCTTGGAATTTTCCCACGGTACCATCAAACACACTGGGATAGTTGTCTACGATCTCTGTACCGACTTCGCACGAGTGAACAAAACGATCATGATTAAAAGAAACGAAACCCAAACTCTGAATGGAATCAAGGCCCAGGATGGGCATTAAATCTCCTGATACCAGGAGAAAATCAAGTAAATGCTCGGAGCCATCCTTCGGGTTTATGGCCTTCATGGTAACGCAGCCCTTCGGTTGTAACTTTGATCCGTTCCACATTCTGAGCTGTGTCTGTATTTGGCGGTATTCTGCATCGGGGCAGTATTTGTGAGGAAGTATGTTCACGCTTGCTCCTGAATCCAATTGGAATCGCACCGGACGCCCTTGAATAAGCAACGTTGCGAATACACAGACTGGTCTCTCACGTCCTGTCATGTTGTTAATAGCCAGTTCCTGCGGCTCTTCCTGATCGTCCTGCCCGACTGAGTCGACTTTGGTTGCCTGACAACAACGTGCAAAGTGGTTCTTCTTCGCACACTTCATACAGGTTCGGCCCCATGCTGGACAATCCTCTTTGCGCCTTGGGTGTGAGCGGCCGCAAAACTGGCATTTGGGTTGATTCGCGCTCGATGACTTCGATACAATTTCTCGGCCTCGGGATACTGCAAACAGATCCGTCGTGGACTCCATCTTGAGCTGCTGAAACTGTTGAGCCGTCCTTGATTCGCTAAAACAGATATCGATGCAATGTTCCAAAGACAGGTTTCGCTGTCGCAAAAGGCGTCTGGAAAGTTCCTCATTCTTTATGCCAATTATAATTCGATCGCGGATCAGCGAATCTCGTAAACAGGTGCAAAAATTGCAATCCCGCGCCAGAATTTTCAGCTCCGTGATGTATGCGTCGATTGATTCACCCGGCAGGCGATTTCGGCTGAAAAACAGATACCTTTGGTAAGTTTCGTTTGTGTAACCTTCGCAAAACTCGCCGAATCTGCGTATTACTTCATCCAGCTCCATCTCCTGAGTTCCATCGCTGAGATCCAACGTTTGCAGCGTCCGCCTGGCTTCGTCTCCAATGGCATGCCTGAACATCGCCAGTTGATAGGCCATTGGCTGAGAATCCAACTGAGTCAGTGTTACAAAGTCTAGCCACTTCGCCTTCCATATTCTCCAATTCTCCGGCAACGAACTCTCGGTCATTTGCAACGGAGCTGGCAGCGGAATCGTTGGTTGTCCACCAAACGCATGCGGGGTTCGGCGTGTCTTCTTGTCCTCTGTCGCCATGTAAAAGTGGCCCTCCGTGCATCAAAAAGTCAAGATATGGGCCTCGATCAGAAATTCATTATTCATAGGATGAAACTCATTTTATATATCGAGTCAATTAGAATCACTCACAGATGTAGAACAAATCTCCTTCCTATTACATTCTTGACCAGCGTTCGAGCTTCGTTCAATGTCGATCCAAATCAATTGCATGCTATCCTTCAGTTCGCTTCTGCAGCAATCGACCAGCTTTCAGATTGTTGGCCCAAAATCATTAAGATCGACCGATCGCTAAGTGACCGGCATCTCAGTGTAGTATCTTACCATCACAATTGTTTGTACCTTTTCAGATTTGAACGTTGCGCGATGTGTGACAAGTACTCTATTAGCCCATCCAGCCACCCGTGTGACAATCAAAGCAATGCAATTGGGTTGAAAACTGGTTCTGAGTTTACTGAGTCGAGGGCCTTCGGAATCCTCTTGGTGTGGTCAAATCCTTTCCCCCGGTCAGCTGGTCTGCTGCTTGGTGGCGCAATTCACTACCCAGCCGCATCAACCAAACAGTCACGATTTGATTAGTCAGTCTGCACAGCCATGGTTCTTATCATCTGAAGACATCACCTTAGCTGATCTCAAGGTTCGTTTCTGCACACTAAGCGGTCTGTTATGCTAAGCATTGCACTCGAGTACATGGTCTACGGGATTCACGCAACGATCCAGTTCGTGCGCTTTGTGGTTAGCCTACTGTTTCTTTCTTTCACCTGGATTTTTGCTCATCAGTCGGCAGCGGATTCACATCGTGGCTGCATGGAACCTAATCCCCATTACTGATCAGGGGCGAAATTATTTCCGGTAATGTGTCAAATATCTGCCGGTGTTCGGTTGTGTTGACTCTGTTGTAACCAACCACGAATCCCAATTACCACCTCGCTAGTAAATTCATCAGCTCATGCACATTATACCAAATTGCACGCGCGATCTATTAGGTCAAGTTCGTTTTACTTTTTATTATCTACTCAGAGTTTACCTACTCACACTTCCTTGTCCATCAACTTCGGTTGGAGATTGACGAACATCTGGTCATGCGGTCAAAATGTCGCCTCACATGTTTGTTCGCCTTATGTTTCAATTTCTCTCGCACAGTCCGTGTTGCGCTTGCTGCTTTTTTCTTGTGTGGCCCGTTGCAATGCCCACCTTTGTGTTCGAGGGGCCCTAGTGCTTCCCACCTTGGGAGTAGTTGCCCTCAACAAAACAAAGTGGGATTTTGCGTGGAGGAAATATGAGTGCAAGCATTGGATGCGTCATCGATCAGTCACGAAGCAAAATTATTAACAAAATCATCTGACTTTCTAAACACTAACGATTAACGACAGAGCATTGAGCATGCTGATCTTATTCGCTGCAACTTACAGGTAGAAGAGTGCATTTTCGACATTAGCGATAATTTAGACAAAAGTAAGACACAGTTTTAACTTGCGCCATTTATGATGTGCATTCGTCGGAACTGCTTCTTACATTAAATTGTCAAAACTGAGCGATGGCAACTGTCTCATTGACTTATATTAATTCTTGACTTAATACCAAATATTGCTAACAAGAACTACGTTTTCTGAGTGATTGAAGTCAATGAAAAATGAATTTATTTTCCGTAATCTAAAACAAAAAGCATTGGCTCATAGTTAATTTCTTTTCAAACTAACATTTTTGGGTATTTGCTTATCCTAAACTCGCTTTGTATTTAGCCCTAAGGAGATTTGGAACCATTACCCTAGTCGAATGCAGTGCAGGGTGTCCCGACTGAGCTGAACTGCCTCAGATGTGCATTCTATTTCGCGGTTCTGTTCGTAATTGTTTCCATAACTTCAAATTCTGTCTGACAGCACATGCCTAGCCTCGATACAGGTCTCGTCAACCTAACCCATCGTTTTTAGGTCACATTCACACTTTTACTATATGTCTCGTACTGCATTGTGACTTTCTATGCATCCGTCCCCCTTCAGCATACCTATTCACTGATAGTGCAATTCTTCGTTACGTTTACGGACTACACTCACCTAATTGAAAAACTTAACCTATCTCAACACATAAGGCTAGGTGAGTTGAGTTGTCTCTTGCTCTTTTACCTTTGTCAGTTCGTCTCGTGGTCGTTGTATGTGGAATGTGCATTTCCCTGTTGTGTTGTTCATGGCGTTCCTGTGACGCAGTCTCTCCTGCATACAAATCGGCTCCTGCTTGGCCAATTTCTGTACAACTACCTGCACTCTTACAAGGATAAGCTGATGTAACGTACTTTATGTTTCCCAAGGGCCTTAGATGTGCGCAGGTAGTGTAAATTATTTGCAGTGTTCATATTGTATTTAAAATTAGCACATTCGTTAATTCTAACTTGTTTTACCTTTATGAACTCGTTTGCGTTTGTCCTAGCCCCCCATTGCTGCATCCTCTGTCAGGTGCGCGTTCAGACCTTCCTCATCGGGACGGTTTCGCACTTAGCTCATAATACGCCTTCATATTTCAGTTTATGTATTACGCAGATGTATGCTTTTCACTTACTAACTGTACAACAAGCGTCAAGCATAGTAGGTTAGTTTTTCTGCTTTGCAAACTGCTGAATTTCAGTGTAGGCGTCAGTCACCATCGGCACACCTCAGGTTACTGCGTTGAGTGCAACTGTGGGCGATGCTCATATTCGCGGGAATACCCCACTTGATATCATTGAACTGCATGCATTATTCGTACGGTTATTCGTCAGGAACATTTACATTGGGATCCGGTATCTTTATGTCTTCAGTTAGAAACGCGGTTGCACACCTCAAATGTCTCTGATCGAGCCATCACTTTGCGTACATATGACGTGCATATTTCTTCCCACCAAATAAAAGGTTTTACATGAGCCCCCAACTTGTATCGATTCAGTATAAGTAGTATGCTCCAAACAGCGCAAGCACTATTCCACACAGTCGTGAATTTCTTGAATTCTGAGTTCACAACTACACAGACTCACTCATCCACGTATTATTTGTGTTTGTGGATGTGTCTAAGCTCCAGTATAATGTTGATTCTTGCGCTGAAACCAGGGATGCGCTGGGTGTCATGGCTCGTACAGTGCGTTCTCTGATGGAGCGTCTTTTTGCTACTCTAGAACATTATGGCCGATAAAAATAGAAACATGTGCAGCAGGAAGCACCTGGATGACTGGTAGACGGTTCACAGCATCACTTTCTGGAACTTGTTCCTGACATATGCGCAGTTATCCTTAGCCAACTAAACTTTTCATTCGAGGTAGTGCTCTGCTCCATGGGTAAACATTTGTTCCGTGACTTCTACTGTTTTACAAACTACTTTGTCTACTTTTTTCCGGTGGCACAAAACAACGATTGAAATTGAACACATCAGACGACTCTGTGTCACTTGGTTTTTTGTTGCTCTCTCCTTTCGCCACTGTGCTTGTTTATCTTACGGCCTGCTTCTACTGTTCCATCACTGATCATCCTCCCTGTCTTTTAAATGTCAAGCTAAAGAGATGGACTACCATTCTACCACTTCAATATCATGTAATTTGGCGGAAGAAAAATAACTCATCATCATCATCCACAGCAGCACATCAGCCATTTGAACTGATGCTTCGCTGCCATACAACAATGAGCACCTATCAAATAAAGAATAAGAAGAGGGAAAGAAAGGGGCTTACCTGCAAACCTTAATGCCCTAAGTAAACACTCAGGGTCAAGGCGCCTACACCTTGTGTAGACAACATACCGTCACAAACAGCTGGCTATCGTGCAAAGATAAGGGGGCATCGGCGAGACAGCTTCCTTGCGGCTTTCATTGCCACGCGTCATAATCAGCCATTACCCCGCAGATAACTCAGCACCCAACACACTTTAAACAGACAATCCGATTAGGAGACGGCAGCAGACGCGCCACTGGTGTCTACTGCGAGCCCTGTCCTGTAAAATCTCCAGCCAGGCACAAGGCGAGTCACGTGGACTCCAGCCCGGAAGGCGATACGGACCAACGGCACCCAGTTTGGTTGTCAGTGACTTTATTTCACGCTGCCAAGTCAACTTCTGTCCACCTCGACCCTTGCGTCAACCTACACCTGGCAGACTAAACAAGGCCCTCCTAGGTAAGCGGTGACCAGACGTACGTAGCACGTGCCCGAGCCAACGCAACTTATTCAGTGCTATCTGTTGTTCTAGGGAGCTAGCATGATTATCACTACCTAGTACTCGCCTACGCACATCATCGTTGCGGACACGCTGGTGCCATCTGACATCAGCAATGCTTCGCGGACAACGATGATCAAAGACTTGAAGGCGCCTCAGATCTTCAGACCGAAGGGGCCAAGTCTCACTACCATAGAGCAGAACGGCCTTCACTGTGGCCATGCATACACGGCCTTCAAGATAGAGGGAGATTCCCCTCTGTCGCCAAAGATGGCGCAGGTTCAAGAAGGTAGCTCTGGCTTTTGCAATGCGTGAGCTGACGTCAGTTTCTATGCGCCCATCGTTGCTGATTCAGCTGCCAAGATAAGTGAAATGATCAACCACCCCGAATTCCTCGTTAGCAAGAGTCAAGGGGTCATCGAGTGGCTGGTGGTCCTGCAGCAACAGTTTACACTTTGAAGGTGCGAAGTGCACACCAAATAATGGGACCACTCTAGACAGGAAATTCAGAGTTTATTGTGCCGCCCCAAAATCGTCGAAAAGCAAGACGATATCGTCCGCATAATCTAGATCAACTAACCTTTCACCAGGCAGCACTTCAACGCCTACATCGTGAGATTCCGTAACGGAACACTCCATGATAGAATCCACGACGAAATTGAACAAAAATGGGAAAATCGGACAACCCTGACGAACGCCACTCGTGGTCGGAAAGCTATCCGATAGGACACCATAAACCCTGACACGGCCTGTAGCGTTTGAGTATAGAGCACGAAAGATGTTCACATATTTCGTGGGAACACCTTTCCGCGCAAGTATTTCGAACAGAATCGATCGATCGACTGAATCGAACGCACTCTTGAAATCGAGGAACACAGCTATTGTCGGTCTGCGGTATGGGTGGCGCTGTTCTAACACCTGCCACAAAGTGAATATATGGTCTATACAGCCACGTCCTGGGCGGAAACTTGCCTGCTCTTCCCTAATCCAAGATTCCCGTTCTGCAGTGAGGCGACGAACGAGAATCGAGGCCAATAATTTTGTCACAACCGGGGTTAGGGTAATACTCCTGTGGTGAGAACAGTCTGTGCGACTGCCCTTCTTGTATATTGCCACTGCAATAGATTCGCTCCAATTAGCCGGGAGAGAACCAGAAACGTTCGAAAAGGGAAGTTAGTGCTTTGCAGAGGACGTCACTTCCATCCGGGCCAGGGGCCCGAAGACGATTAAGGGCTATGATCGGGTTTGGGACCTCGGCCATCGACGGACGTTCTAAACTGTCTATGGCTCGTCCCGTATCACCTGAGTAGGAAGAGGTCCGGGAGCAGGGGCCAGCTGAGCTGACCTTTAAAGTGGTCCGCCCAATGAGCCATACGGCGCTCCTGATTGTGTATCTGTGCACCCGCGCTGTCTCTGATTGTCTTACTGACGCCTTGGCTTCTGGGACCAGTGGTGTGGATTAGCTGGAAGAACTTGCGGTAATTGCCTACTGCTCCTGTCTCCTCCATTTCTGTAGCCTGACTGGTCCACCAGGTTTCCTTATCCGCACGCAGGCTCCGCTTTAATTCACGCCTAATAGCCCGTCTGGTCACATTGTGTTCAGAGTCAGCCGGGAGGTTTCTTCGATTCCAAGAGGTTCACCGACCTCTCAAATATCCAGTGACTGGTGCGGTGACCATTGATAGTGCCACAAGCAGATGCCCCTGCGCCTTGCATGGCGGCCGAGATCCTATTCCACTGAAGCTCTGTGTCATTAGGAAAAAGACAGCGAAAGTTCGGTACGCAGTGCGTTTTGATAGGCTTGCCTGACCAAGGGCTGAGACAATTTCTCAGTTGCAAATAGGAGGAGACGCTTGGTGCGCCTCCTGGTAAAGTTCATGGAGAAACGACAGTGTACCAAGGCATGACCAGAGTCTACGCATGTTAGAGGACGAGCGGCGAGCCAGGATGGAACCATGCCATTTATAACTTATGGCTATGTGGTCAATTTGGGTCCATCGCTGGCCAGCTACAGGAGGACGCGAAGTAGCACTTCGGCGCCCACTGTGTCTAAAAGCAGTGCTACTAAGAAACAACTGGTGCTCCGCACACAGTTGCAGCAGACGTTTGCCGTTGTCAGTCCGTTCGGAGTTAAGCCCATAATTACCACCCAGCTGAGCTTCTGAAGAGCTCAGACGCCCTACTTGTGCGTTCATACCCCCTGCAAGTACTGTAATATCTGAACTAGTAGCACTGCATAGTAGCGCGATCAGTTCGTGATAGAATCTGTCCTTGACAGCATTTGTAATACAGTCAGTGGGAGTACAAACGGAAATCATAAACAAACAACTTTTGTGTTGCTTCGTGCAACCACCTTAGTTGATGTCGTCAAACGGGCTGCATATAAACGGTTGTTCACTGGAATCCAATCAACCAACGATGGCTTAGCCTTGAAGCTTATAATGATACCTACATCAGCTTGACCCGTGAGTGCTGCATCGGCGTCTCCGGATGCGCGCAACTAATAATGACAGGATAAGCCAGGTGCAGTTAATTCAACAACCCCGTTAGGGTAATTGATCCTAGTTTCAGACACACAACACACATCAATACCCAGTGTGTCTAAGGTGCGTGCGAATGCAGCCTGTCGACTTGTTTGTCTTAGAGTGCGAACGTTGAATGTCGCCATGGAAACGGGATAGCGTGGCCTTATAAGGGACTTTTGCCGATAGGCGTCCGATAGGTGCTGTGGGATGGTGGCTGCAGATGGTTCTACTCCAGTGTCACTTCGGTTGCCGGCCCCTGCTCCCGGACCTCTTCCTACTCAGGCGATGCAGGGCGAGCCATGGACGGTTAGTTTAGAGCCCCCGTCGGAGGCCAAGGTCCCAAACCCGATCACAGCCATTAATCGTTTTAGTGCCGCTGGCCCGGATTCCCTACCACATGCACTATTTAAAGATGAAGGTGACGTGCTCTGCAAAGCACTAACTTCCCTTTTCGAATGTACACTGGCTAATTGGAGCGAATCTATTGTAGTGGCAATATACAAGAAGGGCAGTCGCACAGACTGTTCTCACCACAGGAGTATTACCCTAACCCCGGTTGTGACAAAATTATTGGCCTCGAT